GTTCAGGTGGAATCTCCTTTCCTGTCATTTGAACCCATGGCTCCATTGAGTCCTAATCTCCAGGACAGCAGAAAACAGAAGGCACTTCCTTCGGACTCTGAAGCAGAGAGTTCCATTGCTGAACAGCTCTCCTTACAGTCAAGAAGTTCTTCCTCATGTTCAGGCGGAATCTCTTTTCCTGTCATTTGAACCCACGGTTCCATTGAGTACTAATCCCAAGGACAGCAGAAAACAAGCCTTTGCCTTCTTCCTTAGGACACCCTTTCACATGTTTATACATGGATCTCATGCCTCCTCTCCACCTTCTCTTCTGTGGATGAACAGCTCTTTAGGATGCTCCTCAAAGGGACTATTCATGGTCTCCAGACCTTTGATCCTTTGAGTCACCCTCTTCTTCTGGACACCTTCCATCTTAGAGCCAATTTCTCTTTTGAACTGTGGGACCCAGAATTGGTCACAGTGTGATGCCTGGTGAAGAGGCCTGACTATAATAGACTATAATATTATTTGAAAGAATAAAAATTCCTAATTGGCAGAACACCTCTTGTGATTGGAATGTGGCTTGTTAATTAAAAGCCCAAAACAAAAGCTGCACTAAGCTGGAACTTTCTTCTGGCCAAAAAACCTTTTTGAAAGCCCTCTTTCTACCACCAAACTTAAAGGCACTGATAAGCCCTTGGCTTACTGGAAGTATCTTAGACAAGTGTGTGTTGGATTAGCCCTCAGGCTTGTGTTCTGAGGTAACACTAAAAATCGTTCTTCAAATTATACACTGCCACCATAGACTCTTGTTTGCTGCAGTAAACTGCTTCTAAAATTTCACCCACAGAGGCACACGTGAGGCAGATGTTGTGAACAACAAAACAATGATGTTTATTTAAGAGAACTGGAACAATTCAGGTATAAAGCTTAGCATGTGGTTACTTTAAGCTGTTCAGTCTTAAATGTGTAACTAAAATTGATTCCCCCGGCACCCTTTCCAAAATGGCTGCCAAACTTCTTGGGCCTACTTTTTCATAGGCTTTTCCTAGCCTAACAAGTAGGGAATTCACTACACTGACCAAAACAGAATACAAAGGCACCAGGACTTCTTCACTCAATATGGACACTTGACTCCTTTGGATGCAGACCAACATCCCATTTTGCTTTTTGAGCTGATGCATCCCACTCTTGGCTCATGTTCAACTTGTTGTCCGTGAAGACTCCAAGATCTTTCTCACATGGGACTCTGTTGTCGAGCCAGGCGTTGCCCATCATGTATCTGCACATTTCCTTGTTTTCTGCCTAAGTGGAGGATCTTACATTTTACATCCTCAGTGTGACATCCTTCCAAACATTGAGTCATGGTTGTCTTCTCTTCTTGAAGCTAAACAGGTCCAGCTTCTTAAGCTGCTTCTCAAAGGGATTCATAGGTTCCAGACCAGGTCTAGGCCAACTTCGGCCCTCACTCCAGATGTTTGGACTTCAACTCCCACCATTCCTAACAGCTGGTACCAGTCACAAGTCAATCAAGGGATCATCTGCATACCTACATTGTGGGAGTTGAAGTCCAAAATACCTGGAGGGAGGGCCCAAGTTGACCCATGCCTTTGTCCTCCTGTAACTGGTCACTTAAGCCAATCAAGGGATCATCAGCATACCCACGTTGTGGGAGTTGGAGTCCAAAACACCTGGAGGGAGGGCCCAAGTTGGCCCATGCCTTTGTCCTCTTGGAACTGGACACTTGAGTCAAATCAAGGGATCATCAGCATACCCACGTTGTGGGAGTTGGAGTCCAAAACACCTGGAGGGAGGGCCCAAGTTGGCCCATGCCTTTGTCCTCTTGGAACTGGACACTTGAGTCAAATCAAGGGATCATCAGCATACCCACGTTGTGGGAGTTGGAGTCCAAAACACCTGGAGGGAGGGCCCAAGTTGGCCCATGCCTTTGTCCTCTTGGAACTGGACACTTGAGTCAACCAAGGGATCATCTGCATACCCACGTTGTGGGAGTTGGAGTCCAAAACACCTGGAGGGAGGGCCCAAGTTGGCCCATGCCTTTGTCCTCTTGGAACTGGACACTTGAGTCAAATCAAGGGATCATCAGCATACCCACGTTGTGGGAGTTGGAGTCCAAAACACCTGGAGGGAGGGCCCAAGTTGGCCCATGCCTTTGTCCTCTTGGAACTGGACACTTGAGTCAAATCAAGGGATCATCAGCATACCCACGTTGTGGGAGTTGGAGTCCAAAACACCTGGAGGAAGGGCCCAAGTTGGCCCATGCTTTGTCCTCTTGGAACTGGACACTTCATCAAGGGTCATCTAAATACCCACGTTGTGGAAGTTGGAGTCCAAGACACCTGGAGGGAGGGCCCAAGTTGGTCCATGCCTTTGTCCTCTTGGAACTGGGCACTACAGTCAATCAAAGGATCATCTGCATACCCACGTTGTTGAAGTCTAAGACATCTGGAGGGAGGGCCAAAGTTGGTCCATACCTTTGTCCCCTTGGAACTCGGCACTTAAGCCAATCAAGGGATCATCTGCATACCCACATTGTGGGAGTTGGAGTCCAAAACAACTGGAGGGAGGACCTCTCATCGGCCTTCGATACCATCTGGCTCTCAGGGTTCATCCCTTGGCATCGTCTCTCTAAGCCTTCTAGGCTTTCTAAGCTCTTTGCTCGAGTCCTTTCATGTGTTTTCCCCCCTTTTGTTTATATTATTTATCAGTTGTAATTGGAAACTGTTGAAAAGGGCGGTGTTATTGGTGTGCTTCTCTCCACTTGCTTTCCTGAGACCTTGCAAGGAAAGGGCAGCAGAGGTCGAAATATTGGAACAGATGGACAATAAAGAAGATGCCGTTAGCCACAGGTGCAGGCGAAACTTCAGGAGAGAATGCTGCTAGAACACCTTGGCCTGGAAACCACGCAACACCCCAGTGATTCTGGGTGTGAAAGCTTTTGACAATCTATATAAATAAAAATGTAATGTTCGTTTGTGGGATTAACAGAACTCAAAAACTACTGGACGAATTGACTCCAAATTTGGACACAATACATGGATCAGGCCAATGAGCGACCATCACTCATAAAAACACTGAAAAACACAACAGAAGAGACTTAAAAAGGAAAAAAACCACCCCAAAATTACATTATAACACACATGCACAAACACATATATACACAATCATATGCATATACACACACAAAACACATACACAGAAAGGAGGGAGGGAGGAAAGAGGGAAGGAGAGAAGGAAGGAAAGAAAGAAAGAAGGGTAGAGAAGGAAGGAAGGAGAGAAGGAGGAGAGAAGGAGGAGGGAAGGAGAGAAGGGAAGAAAAAGGGTAGAGAAGGAAGGAGGGAGAGAAGGAGGGAGAGAAAGAGGGAAAGAAGGAGAAAAGGAAGGGAAAAAAGAAGGGTAGAGAAGGAAAGAAGGAAAAAAAGAGGGAGAGAAGGAGGGAGAGAAAGAGGGAAAGAAGGAGAAAAGGAAGGGAAAAAAGAAGGGTAGAGAAGGAAAGAAGGAAAAAAAGAGGGAGAGAAGGAGGGAGAGAAAGAGGGAGAGGGAGAGAAGAGGGAAAGAAGGAGGGAAGGAGAGAAGAAAAAAAAAAGGTAGAGAAGGAAGGAGGAGAAAAGGGAAAAGAGAAAGAAGGAGAGAAAGAAGGAAAAAAGAAGGGTAGAGAAGGAAAGAAGGAGAGGAAGAGAGGAAGGAGAAAGAGGGAAGGAAGGAAGGAGGAAAAAAGGGTAGAGAAGGAAGGAGAAGGAGGGAAAGAGAAAGAAGGAAAGAAGGGTAGAGAAGGAAAGAAGGAGGGAAAGAGAAAGAAGGAAAGAAAGAATGGTAGAGAAGTAAGGAAGGAGAGAAGGAGGGAGAGAAAGAGGAAAAGAAGGAGGGAAGGAGAGAAGGAAAGAAAGAAAGGTAGATAAGGAAGGAGGGAGAGAAGGAGGGAGAGAAGAGGGAGGAAGGGAAAGAAGGAGAGAAGGAGGGAGAGAAAGAGGGAAAGGAGGAGGAAAATTACCTAGGGCCGCCTCTGACCTCAACACAGGCTGTAACCTTATGCCTTGTTTGGCCTTTTGACTGACCAGGAGGACCTCTGTCTTGTCTGGATTCAACTTCAATATGTTCGCTCTCATCCAGTCCGACACAGCTATGCACATCCCATGGGGAGATAGAAGCCTGACCCCCAGCAGAAAGGGAGTGGGTGTAGAGGAAGGGCCTACGGGACCCCAAGGGCCACTCACCGGTCCCTCTGGCTCCTTTAGTCTCCAGGAATGATACTCGGCCAGGTTTCAGCCAAATCCAGGTGAGAGCAGAAGAGGAGAACAACACAATGGCTGGGGTGCCTGTGGGTCTATAGGGAAGGTGAGACGCAGCGCAGGATCAGGTGGATTCCAGGTGCAGGCAGGTGCCGCAGATCCTTGCAGCTGATACATTGCAACAGGTAGGATTACATTTCAGGTCTGCAGATGGGTCTATGGCAATTAATTTTTAAGCATGAATTATAAACTCGCGTCCTGCGTTTCAATCTAAGTCCTGTGTATTTCATATGTATGGTACGGAAATACAGAAATATGTTTTACGAGGCTTGAATGAAAAGTAATGTCAAGAATTCAATGACTTCACGTTGCTTAAGTCGCATTGATCGTTGCTTAAGTCGCATTGACTGTGGGATCTCCTTTCTCGTAGTTTGAAGCCATTGAAACCATCTAAGATAAGATATCTCCAACTTATGGCCATTTAAAACATCTCAAGGTATCTCCAACTTATGGCCATCTAAAACATCTCAAGGTATCTCCAATTTATGGCCATCTAAAACATCTCAAGCTATCTCCAACTTATGGTCATCTAAAACATCTCAAGGTATCTCCAACTTATGGTCATCTAAAACATCTCAAGGTACCTCCAACTTATGGCCATCTAAAACATCTCAAGGTATCTCCAACTTATGGCTCTCTAAGACATCTCAAGGTATCTCCAACTTAAGGCCTTCTAAAACATCTCAAGGTATCTCCAACTTATGGTCATCTAAAACATCTCAAGGTATCTCCAACTTATGGTCATCTAAAACATCTCAAGGTATCTCCAATTTATGGCCACCTAAAACATCTCAAGATATCCCCAACTTATGGCCATCTAAAACATCTCAAGGTATCTCCAACTTATGGCCACCTAAAACATCCCAAGGTATCTCCAACTTATGGCCATCTAAAACATCTCAAGGTATCTCCAACTTATGGCCATCTAAAACATCTCAAGATATCTCCAACTTATGGCCATCTAAAACATCTCAAGGTATCTCTAACTTATGACCATTTAAAACATCTCAAGGTATCTCCAACTTATGACCATCTAAAACATCTCAAGATATCTCCAACTTATGGCCATCTAAAACATCTCAAGATATCTCCAACTTATGACCATCTAAAACATCTCAAGATATCTCCAACTTATGGCCATCTAAAACATCCCAAGGTATCTCCAACTTATGGCCATCTAAAACATCTCAAGGTATCTCCAACTTATGGCCATCTAAAACATCTCAAGGTATCTCCAACTTATGGCCATCTAAAAAATCTCAAGGTATCTCCAACTTATGGCTTAAGTTCTTCCTCATGTGCAGGTGGAATCTCCTTGTTGAAATTCATTGTGTTCGTTTTGGCCAATCCTCTCTCTAATCTGTGAGGGTCATTCGCAGAAGAGTTTCAAAGTCCCAGCAGATCCTCACCTGGCCCCTGATGACCCCGTTCAACCTGCTCTGATGGAATGGGGAAGGGGCAGCAGGAGAGAGACCTCCTCTGGTCAAGCAGCCCTCCCTTTGTGACCTCAGCACGACACGCACAGGCCACTCTTGGGGACACCTGGACCTGCTGCTGCTGCCTCCCAAGCTGAGGGACCTCTTCTTCCATCCATCCATCCATCCATCCATCCATCCATCCCTCCTTCCCTTGGCTACCTGCTGGCGACCATCTCCCCCTCGCCCATGACCAGGCCCGCCCCCTGCAGCCGCCCCCCTGGACCCACGGAGGCCCCGTCCAACCGGGAGCAAGATGGACCCTAGTAGTGGCACCCAAGCCCTGGAGATCGGGGAGGCCGACGTCAACTGGGAGCTGATCCGGGACAAGGTCAGAGGGGAAAGTGGGCAGCTCAAGAGTCTAGGGCAGGCATGGTCCAACTTTGGCCTTCCCTCCAGGTGTTTTGGACTTCAACTCCCACAATTCCTAACAGCTTATCGGCTGTTAGGAATTGTGGGAGTTGAAGTCCAAAAACACCTGGAGGGCAGGCCAAAATTGGACCATGCCTGCTTCCAAAGGTGTTGTTGGGGGATATGTCCTCTGCCCCACAGCTTTTGTCCCGTGGAGTCCTGCAGGGTTCAATACTGTCTCCCATGAAGATCATCCAGAATTTTGGAGTTCAATGTCACTTGTACGCAGATGACATCCAACTCTATCACTCCTTCCCATCTGCTACTAAGGAGGCTGTTCAGGTCCTGAACCGGTGCTCGGCAGCAGTGGCGGTCTGGATGAGGGCAAACAAATTGAAACTGACAGATGGCCATTCAGCCTCTATTCAAAAGCCTCCAAAGAAGGAGCCACCACCACACTACAGGGCAGAGAGTTCCACTGCTGAACAGCTCAGCCTGTAAACAAATAAATACTGTAAATGAATAAACAAACACTGTAAACAAATAAGTACTGTAAATAAATAAATAAATAAATACTGTAAATAAATAAAAACTGTAAATAAATAAACAAAGATTGCAAACAAATAAACACTGTAAATAAACAAACACTGTAAACAAATAAATACTGCAAATAAATAAATACTGTAAATAAACAAATAAACACTGTAAACAAATAAATACTGTAAATAAATAAATACTGTAAATAGATAAATAAACACTGTAAACAAATAAATACTGTAAACAAATAAATACCATAAATAAATACTGTAAATTAATAAATACGGTAAATAAATAAATACTGAAAATAAATAAATAACTGCTGTAAATAAATAAATAACTGCTGTAAATAAATAAACAAACACTGTAAATAAATAAATAAATACAGTAAATAAATAAATGAACACTGTAAATAAAAAATATTGTAAAGAAATAAATAAATACGGTAAATAAATAAATAAATACTGTAAATAAATAAATACTGTAAATAAATAAATACTGTAAATAAATAAATACAGTAAATAAATAAATGAATACTGTAAATAAATAAATACTGTAAATAAATAAATACTGTTAATAAATAAATACTGTAAATAAATAAATACTGTAAATAAATAAATAAATACTGTAAAATAAATAAATAAATGCCCTAGGGTGTCCCTGTCAGGGAAGAGGGATGGTCCTGGCAAGGCTTGGGAAGATTGACTGATTGATTGATTGATTTACAGTATTGATATTCCGCCCTTCTCACCCCGCAGGGGACTCAGGGCAGATTATAATGCGCATATACCTGGCAAACATTCAATACCATTAGATATACAACATATATAGACAGACACAGAGGCAATTTAACATTCCAGCTTTTCCGACTTCATGAGGGTATGCTCAGTTCCAGTCACAGGGGGAGCTGCCACTTCACCGTCCACTTGTGACACTGAGTCCTTTGATGGATTACTTCCTCATTCTTCTGCATGCTACTGGATGGTTTTATGGCATCGCAAATTAGTTAAATTAGCCTCCCCACATAAAGCGGTACCTAAATTTCCTACTTGGCAATAGGAACTGTCTTTTGGGCTGCATAGGTCGACAGCAAGCTAGCCTATTAATTACTCTGACCCGGGCTGGCTTCGAACTCATGATCTCTTGATCAGTAGTGATTGAATGCAGCTGGCTACTAACTAGCTGCGCCACAGCCTGGCTCTTCTCTTCTCTACTTTGGACTGGGTGGCTCTGGAACACTCTTCCAACTCTATGGCAACCTGCTTTAATGTTCTGGGGTCTCTATGCGCGGGCGCATGGGAGGAGAGCGTCACTCCCCTGCTGTGGGATTCTGCTGCATTTTCTGTTGGCGCTTCCTTTCATCTCGCTTGTGAGCAGCCCTGGGCCTCCTGCAGGGTGCTCATTATTATTCATTGGCTCATTACGCATTAAAATATTGATACACCGCCCTCGCCTCTAAGGACCCGAGGGCTGGCCTGCGGTAGAACCAGTGGAAAGCCAGTTCCAGCAGATGAAAAGCACATCGGATTATTATTAGATGTATGATCCCACATGGCTTGGCGCTTCTGTCCACTCATCTGGATGTCTTTGCATATGGCACATGGGGAGACGCTGGGGACTCCCCTTTCTGACCCCAGTGCCCGGCCTCTGGCCACTGACCACTGACCACGATTTAGAATGTGTGACCTCTGGGTTCTCCGTTTCCATGGGGCAGGAAACATCATAACATGTTCTGAGTTCCTTTTCCAGGCTTGAAAGAAACAAATTCCCTCTTCTGCTCAAATGGCAGGGAGAAGGTTTCAGGAAAAGAGACAAAAAGAGGTCCGGAGGTCTCAAAAGCACGGATTTTATTTCCAGCTGGGACCCTGGAGTGGAGCTGTGTCCAAAAGCATCCAGAGCAATGATATAGGTGCGGACTTTCCCTTCTATAGTCTCCAAATGCAAGCAAACAAAGAACATGCGTCTACATACATTGACCTCATTTACTATGTCATCTTAGCATCAAATTCTATCTTCCAACATACAAAAAGCATGTCTCTGTGTCTTTCTAAAGAGCAAGCATCCATCCATCAGGGGCCTGCTTTTGACCTGTTGATATCGAGCTGCTTTTAGCGGGGTCTCCTTGAGAGAGAGAAACCCGAGGACCGCGCCTAAAGGGCTCTGGGTCCCTTGGTGAGGCCAGCGAGAGCCAATCCAAAGAGTAAAAAATATTATAAATAATAATGCCTCATCCAAGTGGAAGAAGTTTCTTTTCAGCAACCGAGGTTTATTGTGATTCAGCTGAGATCAGATGCATTGCAGGAATCATTCCACTGCAAGCATAATTTTACAGAATTTCCAAGCATTTTTATAGTACACAGACAAAGGAAAACAGTTTCAAAAATCCCGCCCGCCCTCTGCCGGCCGGCTTCGCTCTGATTGGCTGGCCGTGGAACAGCTGGGAGGAGGCTTGGCGGCACGCCCCGCCTCCTGACCAATCAGCGGGCTCCGCTGCCTCTAGGGGGCCAATCAGCGCCTTCCTAGCGCCTTGGAAGATGGTCCAATCGGCAGCCAGGAGGCGGGACGAAGCTTGACAGTTCAGAGGAAATGATGAGCCCAGGGGGCATCCGCCAGCTGAAATGTGAGGCTTTGTCCTCACCGGCGGGGTGACAGATAGGGGAACAATGAGTTTCCTGGTTTTTGATTGGATTTGGGAGGAAGTATGAAAAGGAACTTTTGATGGTATTTGGACCTCAGAGCCTCGTTAAAAAGGGGGATCAACAAATACCAAAAAAATGATTCAATCAGTCTTTTCTTCCTGAGTTTCAGTTGACCCTTCCCGCCCTTACTGTCTGCTCTGAAAGTTAGTTTGAAGAAGGGATCAACCACACAGCCCATGCAAATGTAAATATGAACCGTTTCGGGAGGACAAAGGATTTCCTCCCTGCCACAGTAATCCTCAGGTCACATTCCTTTTGGGGCAAGGGTCACAGAGGAGAAGCGGGGAGGGGGACCAGAGTACATTTCATACAATATTCCATTACATATATTCCATATATTTTTACATTTCATGAGGCAATCCCACCCCCATCCCCAGCAAAAGTTTATTACAATATTGGATCTTTATTATAACGCAAACTGGAGATCTCATAGTCCTTTGGCAAAGGTGCGTGGAAACTGAGGCTGCTTGCATTTCAAGGCAAGCACCAGAAGGAAGTTCGTGGCCAGGGATGTGGCAAACAGTTCAGTTCATGAAGCAGAGAGTCAATAAGAAAAAGGCAGAAGCCCAGTGATGGGCGCTGGGTTGGGTAGTAGCAGAGTCCATAGTCCAGTGCATAAGTCAGAGAGTTCACAAAGAGGAAACAGGAACCCAGTTATGTGCGCTGGGTCAGGAAGCAACAGAATCCATTGTCCGGCCCTTGGCGAACTAGATCTTCCGCGCTGGGGCCGGGGGCCAGCCTGGCCGCTTCTCCGGGTCCTCCTGTGGGTGCCCACAGCAAGCCCCTGATGGCAGGGCACGAGCAGGAACGAGCGGTAGCAAGGGAATAACAGGCTGCTTTTCACCGAGCCAGCAGAGTTTTGGCAATCAGCTGTTTGCTGTCTAATAATAATACTTTAAACAAAACGATTATTCCCCGAGCGCAGGAGTCCAAAATGAGGAAAGCGAGACAGCAGTTAGTCTTAGAATTAATAGCAGAAAAATACAAAATTAGAACGGCGCCGATCCGCCATATTACTGTTTTAGTGGTTACTGGGGTCCAAAATGGCGGTTTCAGTATCCGCGAATTGGGCGAACACAGATCCTTGGTCCGGGGGGTGCCTGGAGGCACCTCCCCGCAGGCTCACGGCTCTCCGGAGCCTGGAAAAAGGGTTATTTTAATGTTGAATTAGTCTGAGGCAGGAAAGATACAAAAGAAAGATTAAATGTTGCAAGTTTCAAGTGCCTTATTAGGGGAATGATACAATGTAAGGAGAAGGGGAAAGCAAAAGAAAGGCTGCAGGCATTCTTATTATTGAGCTGCCTGCTGGGGCACATTTCATCAGTTTCTTCCGATTGTGACAACCAGGAACTGCGGAACTCTCCGCTGCAGTGCAGGCCAATTGATGGCGGGGGCCCCCCGCCATCACTGTCAGGAGGGAGAGGGGGGCTCCTTACTTAGAGCCTAGTTGTACCAGTCTGTTGCCACTAGGACAGGCTTATCTCTCTCCTGGAATGTATAGATAACATGCCCCCCTCTTCAGTCCCCCTCTTGCTGTGCCTGGACAGCAGCTCGCTTGTCCGTTAGCATTCTTTCTATACAGAGAGAACTTGATTTTTCTATACATTTCAGTGCTTGTAAAGTACATACAATTTATACATAAATCAATATCTATTTTTCCAATATCTCCTCATCACTACCAATTAGGAAAAGCACATTATTCTGCACACTCCACTTGCCTCACTGTCAACAGAACTGCTGAAGATGCCAGCCACAGATGCAGGTGGAACATTAGGAGAGAATGCTACTGGAACATGGCCATAAATGGGCTGCAGTGGTGCAATGGGTTAAACCCTTGTGCCACTGAACTGCTCACCTGAAGATTGGCAGTTTGAATCCACAAGACGGGGTGAGCTCCCACTTTTAGCCCTAGCTCCTGCCAACCTAGCAGTTTGAAAACATGCAAATGTGAGTAGACCAACAAGTATGGCCTCAGCAGGAAGGCAAAAAGATGCTCCAAGCACAGGCCACACAACCAGGATGTGTCTACAGACAACGCAGGTTCCTCAGCTTGGAAATGAAGAAGAGCACCTCCCTCAGAGCCAAAGATGATCATCGTCTCTGGAGCTGGAAATGAAAGGAGAAGCCTTTGCCTTTGTCTGTGTCTTTGTGTCCCATTGTATTTCATTGTAACAAGGCACCTAATGTTTATTTATTTTTTATTTATTTACTTTATTTGTATACCGGTGTTCTCAGCCCTTAATGTTTACCTATATTTGTTTATATGTTGTCATTCACTTTGAGTAGCCTTGGCAAGAGTGCCACCTACAGAGCCAGAAATGAAAGGAGAAGACTTTGCCTTTTTCTGTGTCTTTGTGTCCCATTGTATTTCATTGTAACAAGGCACTGAATGTTTACCTGTATCTGTTTATATGTTATAATTCACTTTGAGTATCTTCAGGGAGAGTGCCACCTACAGAGTCGGAAATGAAAGGAGAAGCCTTTGTCTTTGTCTGTGTCTTTGTGTCCCATTGTATTTCCTTGTAACAAGGCACTGAATCTCTCTATCTGTTTATATGTTGTAATTTACTTTGTGTATCCTCGGGGAGAGCGCTGGCTACAGAGCCGGAAATGAAAGGAGAAGCCTTTGCCTTTTTCTGTGTCTTTGTATCCCATTGTATTTCACTGTAATAAGGCACCTAATGTTTATCTGTATCTGTTTCTATGTTGTAATTCACTGAGTACCCTCGGAGAGAGTGCCGCCTACAGAGCCGGAAATGAAAGGAGAAGCCTTTGCCTTTGTCTTTGTGTCCCATTGTATTTCACTGTAATAAGGCACCTAATGTTTATCTGTATCTGTTTCTATGTTGTAATTCACTGAGTACCCTCGGAGAGAGTGCCGCCTACAGAGCCGGAAATGAAAGGAGAAGCCTTTGCCTTTGTCTTTGTGTCCCATTGTATTTCACTGTAATAAGGCACCTAATGTTTATCTGTATCTGTTTCTATGTTGTAAATCACTGAGTACCCTCAGAGAGAGTGCCGCCTACAGAGCCGGAAATGAAATGAGAAGCCTTTGCCTTTGCCTTTGTGTCCCATTGTATTTCATTGTAACAAGGCACTGAATGTTTACCTGTATCTGTTTATATGTTGTAATTCACTTTGAGTACCCTCGAGGAGAGTGCCGCCTACAGAGCTGGAAATGAAAGGAGAAGCCTTTGCCTTTGTCTTTGTGTCCCATTGTATTTCATTGTAACAAGGCATTGAATGCTTACCTGTACCTGCTGTAATTCACTCTGAGTCCCCCCAGGGAGAAGGGTGGAATATACATAAATTGTTGTTGTTGTTGTTGTTGTTACAGCCCAGAAACAACACAACATGTCAGTGATAGAAGTGTAGTGATAATGGTGGAGGGGTCCAGGGTTGGAATTGCCTGCATGTCAACCTGCAAAGCCCCCCCTACTCCTTGTGTCTCTCCCCCCCCACCCGCTGTGCAGGTGATCGAGGAGCGCTTTGGCCCCACGGTGGTCCCGGTGCCCTTCCTGGCGGAGGCCTCCTGTTATGATCTGCTGACAGTGCTGGTCAAGAGGCCTCCCCCTCGAGGTCCAGCCGCCCTCCCGCTGCCGCTGCTGCTGCGCCACCGCCGCCCGCGCTGCCTGGTGCCGGTAGGACCCTTGGAGGGGTTGCTGCGGGGAGGCCCGGCCCCGGCCCCTGCTCTGTGCCATGGCACCCGTGAGTACAGCGCCCGCGTGCGGGGGGAGTCCCGCTACGAGGAGACGCGGCTGGTGGCTGGGACCCTGCGGCACATCCGGCTGACCATGTCTGGTGTCCACAAGAAGGTGGCCTTCCTGGCCCTGCGCCCGGGGACCCTGGCACTGCGGACGGATCTGCCCTGGCTGCGCGCACAAAGGAGCCTCTTTGTCATCTATGAGGTAGGCAGACCAACCTTAGGATTGCCATTGTACGTCGTACGACAAAGCGAAATGCCATCCCCAGTGCACATTATAGATACGTAGAATTACAAAACAAATTCCCCATCCTTCCACATTCCAATCACTCTTGCACAACCCCTAATGGCTTGCCATTGTGGAACCACAGACTTCAATATAGTTACTGCTCTAGTGAAGGTGTTATTGAGCAATTTAGAATGGCTGTGAATTAGGCCCAAGACATTGTGTGTTGCCTGGTGAGAATGAGAAGCCAATATTACAGAATAAATCTCACCAAGTTGAAGAGAAAGCCACCGAGGTTTTTATTTCATGGCAGCTGGAAAGCATGATGATTGCAGAAATCTGCCAACAAAATTGACATGTCTGCTGGGCAGGTAAATACAAAATATATAGATTTCAGATTCCAAAGTTTCCATGCCCAGCCCCTGAGCCAGCTTCGTTGTGATTAGCTGTGACGTCGGCAAGCCAGCAGGACAGCCAATGGCGGCCTGAGTCCTGCTTTGGCCTCTCAGTCAATGGGGTGGAAGGGAGGCAGGCAACAGGAAAACAATGAAGAAATGTCCAGTTGACTGGTTTAAATGACTAATGTTTGCAAAATGGCCCAGCGATTGCATAAGCCCTCGAGCTGGCCAGGGTTTATTGTTTAAGTTCCTTGGAATCATCCTCTGTAGTCTGGCCCAAATGGCCAAGTCCTTTGTTTTATCATTCAGAGATATGGGGCGCGTTGATGAACTTTGGAATTGGTTTCAGCCAGCAGGGCTGACATATTGGAAGAAGCTGTGGTGAAGCCCTAATTCCTCGCAGACAGGAAAATACCTTTTGGTGTTGGTGGAGCAAGATGCCCAGAGGTCTTCTCTCCAGATGGACTCGCCTTGTGCCCTCCGAGATCTCGCTGATAAGAACCATTTGTTTTATTCTCCATGCAAATGGGTGTGGTGAAACCTTTTTTGGGGGGATTAGTATCTCAGGAAGCACGAGGGGACTTCCTGAGCTAGGTGAGTCGCTGGATTTTGAAAACAGTGGCTTTCCCTTTCATAAATATAGACATACACACATATAATGGGAGAAGGGAACATACAAGGAAATCATAAGGGATAAACCATGCAAGGTCAAGGGAGCCCTCTCAGCCCTCCCTCCAGAGTCCACTAAAGGTTCATATAGATCAGTGAAATATCATGAAAGTTCGTAAGGGTTTGGTATAGGGTCCATTAGAGTTCCAAAGTCCATGAAAAGTTGATTAAAGGTTTCCAAACATTCATAGAGAAGTCCATAAGTGTGCAAGGGGGCAGAGTCACCTCTGATATCAAAGGGGTCAGTAAGATCGTAGACATTTTCACTTGGATGATGCTGTTTGAGATGGTCCGTGTCGCCATGTGATCAGGAAATGAATAGTATGTTTTTGGCTCATGTTGTAGCTCAGCAGCAGTTACAGCAGACAGGGCGGATGGGTTCACTGATGACTGAGAGTCATATGGGATGGTGGGCTTTCTGGGGATTCGTTCTGATGCAGGTCCTGGGATTCCTTCTCAGTCAGGCCAGGAAAGTGAAACTGTTTTAGTTAGAGAGGCCGACACAGATGCAGGGCCTGAGAATTGAATTGCCTCTGAACCTCAAGGTCAAGGAAAGGAGTCGGCATCATCCTCTCCGGGTAAAGTCTAGCGAAGATGAAGGGAGGGGAAATTTGCATTGGAACCCACCTGGTCCTCCTGACTTAAGCAAGGAGGCTTGCTTGCAGATTCGAACAGATAGCCCTCTTCATAGATCCTCACACCTTCATGGGAAGCAGAAATTCCAGGGTAGATGTAATGCTTTCATGTCTGTTTATTAATAACGAATGGGCACTCTTCAGTTCAGGCAACGTGGCATTCAAGTTAACAGCTAGGCCTGGCTCTCTCGTTTCATGTCTTGGTTTTGGATCTAAGTATTCTATGTTCTTGTTTTTATTCCTGTTTCAAGTTTCGCTCATGGTTTTGGATCTAAGTACTTCATGTTCATGGTTTGTATTCCCGCTCAAGTTTTACTTATGGACTTACATTGCCAAGTTCCCCTCAGGGCTGAAGCCCCCAACACTTGGTGATAAGAGTTATGAGGTTGGGTTGGTTTGGGGGCTGGACTAGATGGCCTTTAGAGGTCCCTCTCAGTTCCAAGTCCACCATTCCAGCTAGGTTCCCCTCAGGGATGAAGCCCCCAATGCTCAGATGATAGAATTATGAAGCTGGGCTGGTTTGGGAGCTGGACTAGATGACCTTTAGAGGTTCCTCTCAGCTCTGGGCCACCATTCCAGCCAGGTTCCCCCCAGGGTTGAAGCCCATAATGTTCAGGTGATAGAGTTATGAGGTTGGGCTGGTTTGGGGGTGGAAGTAGATGGCCTTTAGAGGTCCCTCTCAGCTCCAGGCAACCATTCCAGCTAGGTTCCCCTCAGGGATGAAGCCCCCTCCCCCAGTGCTCAAATGATAGAGTTATGATTTTGAGCTGGTTTGGGGACTGGATTTGATGGCCTTTAGAGGTCCCTCTCAACTCCAGGCCACCATTCCAGCCAGGTTCCCCTCAGGGATGAAGCCCCCAACATTCAGGTGATAGAGTTATGAAGTTGGGCTGGTTTGGGGGTGGAAGTAGATGGCCTTTAGAGGTCCCTCTCAGCTCCAGGCAACCATTCCAGCTAGGTTCCCCTCAGGGATGAAGCCCCCTCCCCCAGTGCTCAAATGATAGAGTTATGATTTTGAGCTGGTTTGGGGACTGGATTTGATGGCCTTTAGAGGTCCCTCTCAGCTCCTGGACATCATTCCAGCTAGGTTCCCGTCAGGGATGAAGCCCCCAAAGTTCAGGTGATAGAGCTATGAGGTTGGGCTGGTTTGGGGGCTGGATTTGATAGCCTTTAGAGATCTCTCTGAGCTCCAGGCCACCATTACAACCAGGTTCCCCTCGGGGATGAAGCCCCCAAAGTTCAGGTGATAGTTTTGAGGTTGGGCTGGTTTGAGAGCTGGACTTGCTGGCCTTTAGAGGTCCCTCTGAGCTCCAGGCCACCATTCCAGCCAAGTTCCCTCTAGGACTGAAGCCCCCAATTCTCAGATGACAGAGTTATGAAGTTGGGCTGGTTTGGGGGCTGGATTTGATGGCCTTTAGAGGTCCCCCTCAGCTCCAGGCCATCATTCCAGCCAGGTTCCCTCTAGGGATGAAGCCCCCAACATTTAGGTGATGGAGTTATGAGGTTGGGCTGGTTTGGGGGCTGGACCTAATAGCCTTTAGAGGTCCCTCTGAGCTCCAGTCCCCCATTCCAGCCATGTTCCCCTCAGGGATGAAGCCCCCAATGTTCAGGTGGTAGAGTTATGAAGTTGGGCTGGTTTGGGGGCTGGACTTGATAACCTTTAGAGGTCCTTCTCAGCTCCAGGCCACCATTCCAGCCAGGTTTCCCTCAGGAATGAACCCTCCCAACGTTCAGGTGATAGAGCTATGAGGTTGGGCTGGTTTGGGGGCTGGACCTGATAGCCTTTAGAGGTCCCTCTGAGCCTCCAACGTTCAGGTGATAGAGTTATGAGGTTGGGCTGGTCTGGGGGCTGGACCTGATGGGCTTTAGAGGTCCCTCTGAGCTCCAGGCCACCATTCTAGCCAGGTTTCCCTCAGGAATGAACCCTCCCAACGTTCAAGTGATAGACTATGAGGTTGGGCTGGTTTGGGGGTGGGACTAGATGGCCCTCTCAGTTCCAGGCCACCATTCCAGGTAGGTTCCACTCAAGGATGAAGCCCCCAATGTTCAGATGATTGAGATCCCTATTGCACCCCTTAGTGTGATACCGCAGAGTTCACCATAGTCCCAGCTCTGGGGTGGCAGCTCTCTCTGATGGTCCTTGTTCTTCTCCTTCTCTCCTGTCTGGCAGGTCTTCTACTGCGGGCGCCTCTGCCTGGCGGTCACTCAGGGCCAGAGCCACCGCTCTTTCCTCCTGGAGCGCCCACTGCCGGTGGCCTTCTCCTGCCTCAAGTTTGCCCTCGGCCCCAAGGGGGTGCTGGGCCCCCAGAAGCCCGTGGGCCACATCCTGCCCACCAGGGCCGCCTGGGTCCACGCGGCCGTCCTGGAGGCCCCCAAGGCCCTCAACGCTGACCCCACCACTGACCCCGCCAAGGCGTCACTCCCTGGGACGGAGGGGCCACTGACCAAGGAGAAGGCCGTTGTAGCCGGACGCAAGCGGTGGAGGTCCCTGCGGAGGCCCCTGCGGCCCCTGTCAGGTGAGGGGCCCCCCAAAGAAGGCTCTGTGGGTGAATGGGGAGAGGTCGGGGTCATAGAGTCATAGGCCCTCTCGAGGGCATCCAGCCCAGCCTCTGAAGCACAAGGTGACCCGCAGTCAAAAAATCGTGGACTGCGAGAGCTGCAGTGTGGTGGAGGCTCCTTCTTTGGAGGCTTTTAAACAGAGGCTGGATGGCCATCTGTCGGGGGTGCTTTGAATGCAATTTTCCTGCTTCTTGGCAGAATGGGGTTGGACTGGATGGCCCATGAGGTCTCTTCCAACTCTAGGATTCTAAGAAAAGAGATTCCACCTGAACACGAGGAAGCACAATCAAAGCATTCCCAACAGATGGCCATCCAGTCTCAATAATATTAATGATGATGATGATATAATATAGTTGGAAGAGACTGCATGGGCCATCCAGTCCAACCTCCTTTATTCCGCCATGCAGGAAAAGCACAATCAAAGCACCCCAACAGATGGCCATCCAGTCTCAATAATATTGATGATTGATGATGATGATGATAATAATAATAATAATAATATAGTTGAAAGAGACTGCATGGTCATCTAGTCCAACCCCTCTTATTCTGCTAAGCAGGAAAAGCACAATCAAAGCATCCCCAACAGATGGCCATCCAGTCTCGATGATGATGATGATGATGATGATGATGATATAGTTGGAAGAGACTGCATGGGCAATCCAGTCCAATTCCATTCTGCTACACAGGAGAAGCACAATCAAAGCATCCCCAACAGATGGCCATCCAGTCTCAATAATATTGATGACGATGATATAGTTGGAAGAGATTGCATGGGCCATCCAATCCAACTCCATTCTGCCACACAGGAAAAGCACAAAGTACCCCCAACAGATGACCATCCAACTTTCATGATGATGATGGCCCATGCAGCCTCTTCCAAGTATATTATATTATCAGCAGCAGCAGCAATGTTATTGAGACTGGATGGCCATCTGTTTAGGGTGCTTTTCCTGCATGGCAGAATGGGGTTGGACTAAATGACCCATTCAGTCTCTTCCCAATATCTCTTCATCATCATGCAGTCACTTCCAACTATATCATCATCATCTTCATTCTTAATCCTGACAGATGACCATCCACCCTCAATCATATTAAGGATGATGATGATGATAATAATAATAATAATAATGGCTTCAAACTACAAGGGAGGAGATTCCATCTGAACACGAGGAAGAACTTCCTGACTGTGAGAGCCGTTCAGCAGTGGAACTCTCTGCCCCGGAGGGAGTGTGGTGGAGGCTCCTTCTTTAGAAGCTTTGAAACAGAGGCTGGATGGTCATCTGTCAGGGGTGATTTGAATGCAATATTCCTGCTTCTTGGCATAATGGGGTCGGACTGGATGATGGCCCACGAGGTCTCTTCCAACTCTTTGATTCTAGGATTCTATGATATAGTTGGAAGTGACTGCATGGGCCACCCAATCCAACCCCATTCTGCCAGGAAAAGCACAACCAAAGCACCCCCAGCAGATGGCCATCTAGTCTGTGTTGAAAACCCTCCAAAGGAGGAGCCTCCACTTCAGGGAAAGAGATTCCACCGAAACGTTATGATGAATCTCCTGGCAGTAAGAGTTCTTTGGGAGTGGGATCCAGGTGGCCTGGGGGTCTAAGCCTCCATCTCTGGAGGTTCTTAAGCCGAGGCTGAATGACCATCTGCCTGGAGGGCTTGGATTGTGTCTGACTGGGTGGCCCTTGGGGCCTCCTCCAACTCTAGAGCTCTAGAGTTGAGGATGAGGGGATTCAGATTCCTGTTGGGTTTCAGCTTCCTGGCTCTTTGTCTGTGCCTCAAATCTCTGAGCCTGCTTCCGAGGCTCTCACAGACGGTGCAGTGTCAATTTTCACCAGAAAGGAATTTTAACAAAGAAGAAAGCGAGCTGGTGCCTTCCCACGAAAGTGTAGATAAGGATTTGACCCGAGAAGCTTGCCTTGATCTCCGGGTCAGGTGGAGTTTGCGTCTGTGGCAAGCAGACGGGAGGCTAGCTCAGTGAAAGGTCGTCGCAATGCTTTTATAATGCTGAGAGCCTAATGTTTTGATGTTAGAACTCTTTGCACCCTGTGGAGAAGCAAAAGGTGTGCCCTCTTCTCACGTGTCCCGTCTGCCTTGCAGGGAAGTGGCCCTTCCGCCAGCCCCGTCCCCGGCTGGGCCCCACCACCGGCAGCCTGTCCGACCCCGAGAGGCACTCCATGTCGCTGCCCCTCCTGCAGAGCGCGGCGGGCGAAGAGAGCGACCCCGAAGACTGAGCAGAACTACCCCAAGCATGGCAATAAAGCTGTTTGCACCCAAAGCCAAGGCTCCGTGAGGATGGGATGCAGGGCAATACTTACTTACTTAGGCGATCCCTTGTAGTCCGAGGACGGTGTTCCTCCAAGTGCAGTATCCTGGTGGTGGGTCTGTAGGTGACTGTGGAGTCCTATTCTTGACCTACATGTTCTCCCACACTGAGGGCACCGGTTTCCAGGTGGAAGGTGATCCCGGTCAGGGTTGTCTTGACACATCTTCCTCTTGGCACATTTCTCTCTTTCACCCTCCATTCGTGCCTCTTCAAATTCTGCAGCACTGCTGGTCACAGCTGACCTCCAGCTGGAGCACTCAAGGGCCAGGGCTTCCCAGTTCTCAGTGTCTATGCCAGAGTGTTTAAGGTTGGCTTTGAGCCCATCTTTCAATCTCTTTTCCTGTCCTCCAACATTCTGTTTTCCATTTTTGAGTTCGGAGTAGAGCAACTGCTTTGGAAGGCGGTGGTTGGCCATCCAGACAACGTGGCCGGTCCAGCGGAGTCGATGGCGGAGGACCACTGCTTCAATGCTGGTGGTCTTTGCTTCTTCCACCACTGACATTTGTCTGCTTGTCTTCCCAAAAGATTTGCAGGATTTTCCAGAGGCAGCGCTGATGGAATCATTCCAGGAGTTGCATGTGACGTCTGTAGACAGTCCATGTCTCGCAGGCGTAGAGCAGGGTTGGGAGGGGAATAGGTTTATAAACAAACCCCTTGGTCTCCCTACGGATGTTCCGGTCCTCAAACACTCTCTGCTTCATTTGGAAGAATGCTGCACTCGCAGAGTTCAGGTGGTGTTGCAATTCAGTCTCAATGTTGACGACTGTAGACAGTCCACGTCTCACAGGCGTATAGCAGGGCAATAGGGCGAGGGGCACTGGGAACACCTGCCAAATAGCAGGGAGACAGAGAGGAGAGAGCTCACCTGAGGGGCTGCAAATGCGTCAACATTGTTTACACTCATTGGGTTTGGAATTGGGAGGAAATGCGCCCCTATCTTTTTGTTTACTGGGTACATGAAGAGGTCTACCTGCAGTGCACCTTAGTGGAGTGCTTTCAGGTGGGAGACGTTGCACGATCCATAGTGAGGATCCCTTGCACATGTTCTGCCAAGACTGGAGAGCAGGCCACTCAGTTGAACCCTTGACTGCTCATGGAAGCCTCCACAGCTATGACATTGGGGCAAAGCACAAGAGGGCCACTCACGTCCTCACCAAAAGCTGGCAAGAAGTGCGGAAGGTGAGATTCCGGGAGGCTTTCTCCTCTGATAAATGCCCAATGAAGCGGTTGTCCAGGTCGTGATCTTGAGGGAATCACAAGTTGTTGTTCATTCGTTCAGTGGTTTCCAACTCTTCGTGACCTCATGGACCAGCCCACGCCAGACCTCCCTGTCGGCTGTCACCACCCCCAGCTCCTTCAAGGTCAATCCAGTCACTTCAAGGATGCCATCCATCCATCTTGCCCTTGGTTGGCCCCTCTTCCTTTTTCCTTCCATTTTCCCCAGCATCATTGTCTTCTCTAAGCTTTCCTTTCTTCTCATGATGTGGCCAAAGTACTTCAACTTTGTCTCTAGTCTCCTTCCCTCCAATGAGCAGTCGGGCTTTCTTTCCTGGAGGATGGACTGGTTGGATCTTCTCGCAGTCCAAGGCACTCTCAGAACTTTCCTCCAACACCACAGCTCAAAAGCATCTCTCTTCTTTCGCTCAGCCTTCCCTAAGGTCCAGTTCCCACATCCTTAGGTGACTACAGGGAATACCATGGCTTTGACTATACGGATCTTCGTTGCCAGTGTGATGTTTCTACTCTTCACTCTTCGCTCCCAACCATTTGTCTAGCTTGTTGTCGGCCTTTGCACCCGAAATAAAGTTTGAAGGAAATTTAGGTTCCACTTTATGTGGGGAGGGTAATTTAATTTACGATACCATAAAACTCTCCAGCAGTGTGCAAAAGAATGAGGAAGTACTCCATCAGTGTCACATGTGGACGGTGAAGCAACAGCTCCCCCGGTGGCTGGAATTCAAAAAGCCACCGGCTTTTTCAGGTGGGAGATGTTGCACGATCCATAGTGAGGGTCCCTTGCACATGCTCTGGAAAGTTAAATAGCCTCTATGTGTCTGTCAACATATGTTGTGTGTCTATGGCATTGAATGTTTGCCATCATATAAGTGTTGTGGCTGAGCTAGTTTGTTTCCTGTTTAATTGTGTGGTACTTACTTTGAAAGTAGTTGTTCTATTCCATGAACTTTGTTGTTTTTTTTTTGTTTTTGTTTTTGTTTTTTGTTTCTAGTTTGTGACGATGAGGATGATGGGATTGAGATTCCTGTGGGGTTTCAGCTTCCTGGCTCTTTGTGCCTCAAATCTCTGAGCCTGCTTCCGAGGCTCTCACAGACAGTGCAATGTCAACACAGCTGTTTTCACCAGAAAGGAATTTTAACAAAGGGAATAGAGAGCAGGTGCCTTCCCACGATGATATCAAAAGTGTAGATAAGGATTTGACCTGAGAAGCTCACCTCGATCTCTGGGTCAGGCGGAGTTTGCATCTGGAAAGCAGACGGGAGGCTAGCGAGGTCATCGCAATGCTTTTATGATGCTGAGAGCCTAATGTTTTGATGTTAGAAAGGTATTTAGGCCTCCTGGAAACTCTGTGAAAGTGTCAGTTCAACGTAGGTTATTAGCCTGAAAGCTTCATGAAATAACCTTAGCCTGGAAAGCAGTACACTTGGGATTTCTTGCATTGTGATTCTTGGGGCAAATGTTTCTTGCTTGTACCTGGGACTCTGGTTTGAACTTTGCCAATAGGATTATGTCTCCTGCTTTTACCTGAAGATCTTTGGAACTGTATTCTGCATTTAACCTTTAATATCTGGGACTTTGCGATGCTTATTCTTTATTTTGACTTGGATTTTTTCCTCAATAAAGTGTAAAACTACAGCTCTTGTGTGATGGTGTTTGGAAGCAAGGTGAAGCTTACTCTGAGTTGCAACAATATGTGCATTGTGATCCTCCCTGAGTCCCCTTCGGGGTGAGGAGGGCGGAATATAAATAATGTCGACAATAAATAAATAATAAATAAATCACGAGCCTGACAAGCACTCCCCCCTCGGAAGGCGGACGGACACAGGCCACGCGAGGGACAGAGAGAGAGAGAGACAGCTTCTTTTATACATATTGCAACGAATTCTCCAGAAAAACATTCATTCCAAATAAATTAAAAAGGTCCATATGTCCTGGGTGGGGGAGGGGGTAGTTTTAAAAAGTCGCCCGCGGGCAGCCGGGCGCTCCCGTCCTCCCTCATTAGTGCAGGCCTGGTGGCGCCAAGCCGAAGGGAGAGGAGGGAGGGACGGAGGAAGGGACGGAGTATTTTTTGGGGGGAGTTTCCAGTCGAGGGCCCCCCACCCCTGCCTGCCCCGAGGGGGGAGTGTTTGGTGTGTGTGTGAGGGCGGACGGTCAGCCGGTCACTCCTCGGGGGGCTCCAGGAGGAAGGGGGAGGTGACGGCATGGGCCTGGGCGATGGCCGCCAGCTCCTTGAGGAACTCGCAGAAGATGACGGCGCAGTAGACGGCGTTCTTGACCCGCAGGGCCTCGCTCTGCTTCTCGGCTGAGCTGCGGAAGAGGGAGGCCCCTCCTGAGGAGAAGGCCTGCAGGACGGGGGCCCCCTCCCGCATGTGCTGCAGGGCCAGCTGGGCCGCCTGCCGGGCTCGCGTCGGGCTGTTGGTGTGACGCAGGATCAGCTCCCCCAGCGAGGGCTTCCGGCTCTTCACTGCGGGACACAAGGGAGGGAGAGAAAGGAAGACAGCATTAGGGCAGGGGGCAAGGCCGAACTGGATGAGGCCACAAGGGCCTTCCAGTTGACCCCCCTTCTCCCAAGCAGGAAGACACCGTCCGATCCCTCTCAATAGATGGCCACCCAGCCTCTGCTGAGAAACATCCAGAGCAGAAAGGATGCTCCACTGGACTCCCATGCAGTCCAAGTCCACTATCAATGGAAGATGCCTCCAAAGGCCATCCAGTCGAGCCACCTTCTCCCAGGCAGGAAGACACCTTCCGATCCCTCCCAATAGATGGCCACCCAGCCTCTGCTGAGAAACATCCAGAGTACAAAGGATGCTCCACTGGATTCCCATACAGTCCACAGTGCACTAGCAATGGAAGATGCCTCCAAGGGCCATCCAGTTGAGCCACCTTCTCCCAGGCAGGAAGACACCTTCCGATCCCTCCCAATAGATGGCCACCCAGCCTCTGCTGAGAAACATCCAGAGTACAAAGGATGCTCCACTGGATTCCCATACAGTCCACAGTGCACTAGCAATGGAAGATGCCTCCAAGGGCCATCCAGTTGAGCCACCTTCTCCCAGGCAGGAAGACACCTTCCGATCCCTCCCAATAGATGGCCACCCAGCCTCTGCTGAGAAACATCCAGAGTACAAAGGATGCTCCACTGGATTCCCATACAGTCCACAGTGCACTAGCAATGGAAGATGCCTCCAAGGGCCATCCAGTTGAGCCACCTTCTCCCAGGCAGGAAGACACCTTCCGATCCCTCCCAATAGATGGCCACCCAGCCTCTGCTGAGAAACATCCAGAGTACAAAGGATGCTCCACTGGATTCCCATACAGTCCACAGTGCACTAGCAATGGAAGATGCCTCCAAGGGCCATCCAGTCGAGCCACCTTCTCCCAGGCAGGAAGACACCACCCGAGACCTCCGGACAGATTGACCACTCAGCCTCTGCTGGGAAACATCCAGAGTAGAAAGGAGGCTCCACTGGACTCCCATGCAGTCCACAAGTCCACTAGCATACGAGAGTCTGCATCAGGGACTCTTCCACCAAAGTCAGGGAATTTCCTTTTGCCTATTGACTCTTTTATCTGATCTTAATTACATGCGACCAATGCAAGTAATTTTTTAGCTTTTTAAAAACCGTACCAGAACCTCATCCTGCGTATTTCTTCTCCTAAGTTCACACCTAACACTGGCCATGTTAAGAGACACCTTTCTGCACTGCAGTCCCATCTCCAGCCACCTTGAATCATAGAATCATAGAATCAAAAAGTTGGAAGAGACCTCCTGGGCCATCCAGTCCAACCCCATTCTGCCAAGAAGCAGGAATATTGCATTCAAATCACCCCTGACAGATGGCCATCCAGCCCCTGTTTAAAAGCTTCCAAAGAAGGAGCCTCCACCACACTCCCTCCGGGGCAGAGAGTTCCACTGCTGAACGGCTCTCACAGTCGGGGTCCACATGGCCTCCCTCAGGCATGGCCATGGGCAATAGCAACACCTTGCCTACTCCAGCCAGGGCAGGTGACGAGCAGTCCCTATGAGCACCTGGCAGGTTGGAAGCCCACCTTGCACAGATAGGGTCCAACCCGGTTGGCCCTTGCAGTGACCATGCCAACTTCCCAATCCTTCCAAGGAAACCCAGGGTGAAACTTGTTGATACTTTATATAATATATTGTATATACATATAATATTTATAATATTATAATGTAATGCAATATAATACTAATAATAATATATTATAATTATATATTTATATTCCATGTAATATTACTAATAATATTATCATGTATTGCAATATACTAATAATAATATATTATAATTATATATTTATATTCCATGTAATATTACTAATAATATTACAACATAATGGTATAATATAATATATTGTATATGCATATAATATTTATAATATTATAATGTAATGCAATACAATACTACTAATAATATATTATAATAATATATTTATATTACATGCAATATTACTAATATTATAATGTAATGCAATATACTAATAATAATGTGATATCATAATTATATATTTATATTCCATGTAATATTACTAATAATATTACAATATAATGCTATAATATAATATATTGTATATACATATATTTATATTATAACATCATGCAATATAATGCAATATACTACTAATAATGTTATTATAATTATATATTTATATTCAATGTAATATTAATAATAATATTACAATATAATGCTATAATATAATATATTGTATATGCATATAATATTTATAATATTATAATGTAATGCAATATAATACTACTACTAATAATATATTATATATTTATATTCCATGTAATATTACTAATAATATTACAATATAATGCTATAATATAATATATTGTATCTACATATAATATTTACTGTATATACTCGAGTATAAGCCTAGATTTCAGCTCTCTTTTTAGGTTGAAAAAGCTCCCCTTGATTTATCGAGTCGAGATTATTTATTATTTTACTCTGTTATTAGTATTATTTTATTACCTTTATTATTTTACTCTATTTATTATTATTATTGCATTTATTATTTTTCTCTATTATGGTTTACATTACATTTATTATTTTTCTCTATTTTTTGTTATTATTCTTACATATATTATTTTACTCTCCTCATTATTATGGGAAGGATAGGTGAGCACATTTACATGGAAGAAGGTGAGAATCATGGTTTAATCGGAGTTGGACAGTCTTATCTTAAATTAGAGTTTTATGTAAATATCCAAAAGCATTTAACCTACTGAAGCCTCAATTAATGTAATTTTATTGGTATCTATTTTTATTTTGCATTTCCCACCCTCGGCTTATACTCGTGTCAATACATTTTCCCAGTTTACTGTGGTAAAATTAGATGCCTCGGCTTATATTTGGGTCGGCTTATCCTCGAGTATATACGGTATGTTATAATGTAATGCAATATAAGACTAATACTAATAATATACAGGGTTAGTCAAAATGAATAGGCCAATAAGAAAATTAATTTTAGACGAATGTATGTTTATTGTAACCAAACTACAGCTACGTAGTGACAGATAAACTATCAAAGTTTTGTCTCACCTTCAGAGATGTTCGATATGGGCGCCCCGTGTGACACGGCAGATGTCCAAGCGATAGTCCAGTTCATTCCACATAGCAAATGTCATCACACAAAACGCCTTCTCTTTGCTTGATTCCGCCATTTTGAAAACAGCGACCCCTAGCGACGCCTAGCGGCATTAACGTACATGTGTGTTGCTCAAAAAAAACTTTGATAGTTTATCTGTCGCTAATTAATTTTCTTATTGGCCTATTCATTTTGACTAACCCTGTATTATAATTATATATTTATATTACATGTAATATGACTAAAAATATTACAATATGGTATAGTACGATATAGTAATATTTAATACCAATATTGTACTATGCTAATAATATAATATATTGTATGTATATATATCTTGTAAGCCGCTCTGAGTCCCCTTTGGAGTGAGAAGGGCAGCATAGAAATGTCGTACATAAATAAACAAACTCTTAGAAGGAGCGCCAATTTCCAGTGACACTGGGAACACCACTTTCCCACTGGGGGAGCCCCTGTCCCGGCCAACACTCACTGGGGAACCATCCTCTTGACCCTCTTCCCCACTTGGCTCTCTGTGAGAACACTCCACTGAGGCCCACTGAATGCTACCCAGGGGGAAGAAGACCACCTCCCAGGACACATTCCCGACCCCAAAACTCAAGGGGACAGGGGGCACGGGCCCCGCCTTGCTCCCTCACCGAGGGTCTCCGACCGGCGCAAGGAGGGGGCGGCATTCTGGGCGTCGGACCAGTCCAGCTTGCCCCGGGCAATCAGGTACTTCTTGGCTTTGAAGAGGAGGCCAGGGAAGTCCTCCTGGCTGGCAGCAAAGCTCTCAATCTTGTTCTTGACGGAGCCCAGGACCTACAAAAGGAGGAGAAGGAGGAGGAGGAGAAAGGAGGAGGAGGAGGAGGAGGAGGAGAAAGAGGAGGAGAAGCAGGAGGAGAGGAGGAGAGCAGGAGGAAGAGGAGGAGGAGGAGGAGAAGAAAGAGAGAAGAGGAGGAGGAAGGAGAGAGGAGAAGAGGAGGGAGGAGGAGAATGAGGACGAGAAGCAGGAGGAGGAGATGCAGGAGGAAGAGGAGGAGGAGGAGGGAGGAGAAGGAGAATGAGGACGAGAAGCAGGAGGAAGAGGAGGAGGAGGAGGAGGAGGAAGGAGAAGGAGGAAGGAGAAAGAGGACGAGAAGCAGGGGGAGAGGAGGAGGAGAGGAGAAGAGGAGGGAGGAGGAGGAGAGAAGAGAAGAAGGGAGGAGGGAAGGAAGAAGGAAAGAGGGAGGAGGAAGAGAAGACGAGAAGGAGGAGGAAGGAGAAGGAGGAGGGAGGAGGAGGAGGAGAATGAGGACGAGAAGCAGGAGGAGGAGATGCAGGAGGAAGAAGAGGAGAAGGAGGAGGAGGAGGAAGAGAAGAAGGAAGAGGACGAGAAGCAGGAAGAGGAGAAGGAGGAGGAGAAAGTGTTAATGGTTTGAAAGTGTTATTTCTTGTTTCATTGGGTGGTCTTTATTTTGAAAGCATTTGTTTTATTCCAGAAGCAGGGAAAAGCAAGCAGAGGAAATCCCTTCCTTCTCTGGTTTAAAACTGGCTTCTCTGGCTTGAGCCGAGGCCAGGAAATTCCTTCCTCTTCTCTGGCTTTAAAACTGGCTTCTCTGGCTTGAGCCGAGGCCAGGAAATTCCTTCCTTCTCTGGTTTAAAACTGGCTTCTCTGGCTTGAGCCGAGGCCAGGAAATTCCTTCCTTCTCTGGTTTAAAACTGGCTTCTCTGGCTTGAGCCAAGGCTAGGAAATTCCTTCCTTCTCTGGTTTAAAACTGGCTTCTCTGGCTTGAGCCAAGGCAGGAAATTCCTTCCTTCTCTGGTTTAAAACTGGCTTCTCTGGCTTGAGCCAAGGCTAGGAAATTCCTTCCTTCTCTGGTTTAAAACTGGTTTCTCTGGCTTGAGCCAAGGCTAGGAAATTCCTTCCTTCTCTGGTTTAAAACTGGCTTCTCTGGCTTGAGCCAAGGCTAGGAAATTCCTTCCTTCTCTGGTTTAAAACTGGTTTCTCTGGCTTGAGCCAAGGCTAGGAAATTCCTTCCTTCTCTGGTTTAAAACTGGTTTCTCTGGCTTGAGCCGAGGCCAGGAAATTCCTTCCTTCTCTGGTTTAAAACTGGCTTCTCTGGCTTGAGCCGAGGCCAGGAAATTCCTTCCTGCTCTGGTTTAAAACTGGCTTCTCTGGCTTGAGCCGAGGCCAGGAAATTCCTTCCTTCTCTGGTTTAAAACTGGCTTCTCTGGCTTGAGCCGAGGACAGGAAATTCCTTCCTTCTCTGGTTTAAAACTGGTTTCTCTGGCTTGAGCCAAGGGCAGGAAATTCCTTCCTTCTCTGGTTTAAAACTGGCTTCTCTGGCTTGAGCCGAGGCCAGGAAATTCCTTCCTTCTCTGGTTTAAAACTGGCTTCTCTGGCTTGAGCCGAGGCCAGGAAATTCCTTCCTTCTCTGGTTTAAAACTGGCTTCTCTGGCTTGAGCCGAGGCCAGGAAATTCCTTCCTTCTCTGGTTTAAAACTGGCTTCTCTGGCTTGAGCCGAGGACAGGAAATTCCTTTCTTCTCTGGTTTAAAACTGGCTTCTCCGGCGTGAGCCGAGGCCAGGAAATTCCTTCCTTCTCTGGTTTAAAACTGGCTTCTCTGGCTTGAACCGAGGGCAGGGACCAGAAGCGGGGAAAAGCTGAATCATTTCCGACTCACTTCCTGCGTTGGAAAAAAAATGGCAGAAAAAGCTTCGGAAAAGCAAAGTGACTTCCGGTTTTTAAAAAAGCTACGATATCACATCAAAAAGGTAATTTTAATGAAATTATTACGAGCAACGGGTTATCCGACGTGACTCTATCCATGCCTATAAACTAGCTAACTACTCCTTGTTGGGGACTTGAGACTTGGGCCCAGTGTGGGGTTGAATCCCAACACCTGAGACCAAGAGCAGGCCTAGACTTTCTGCCAAGCGGGAGGGAGATCAGCCCCTCTTAAATGGTGTCCAGCTACCTGGATGAGGGACTTGACGCTGGGCTGGAAGACCATGTTGGTATTGAGCAGGAAGGAGCGCAGGAGGGGCTGTGGGTAGGAGGCCATCTGGGAGAGGAGCCCCGTCAGCAGGAAGTTCACGTACAGCGAGTTCTGCAACATGTTCTCCAGCTTGGCCAGGAGCACCGCCACAAAGGGCCCTGCAGAGCGGGGAGGAGGAGGAGGAAGAGGAAGTAGTAGGGGAGGGGAGGAGAATGGGGGTCAGCACACAGCAGCCAGGTCTCCACGCCCCTCCCCCCAAGACCCCAGTAGTCCTCCAGATGTTGGGGCAGGAATTCTAGGAGCTGAAGTCCAAATACCTGGAAGGTCACAAGTTTGACACCACTGGAAGACCATCAAGTTCATGTGATTTTCCAAGAGGAAGGCTCACCTGTGAAGGGCTGGCTGGGGGGCTGCCCGGGGGTCCGTGGGGGGCTGCTGAGGAGAAGCTGGGCCAAGGGGTCGGGCGGCCGGGGAGGCCCCGCTCCATCCGGGAGGGAGGTGAAGCTGCGGAAGGCGTCCTCCTCCTCGCGGGAGAGCGGGTCGGGGTCCGGAGGAGGGGCCCTGGTGGCCGGAGGGGGCCGCCCTCCCTCCTCTTCCTCCCCTTCGGCCCCTCGGCCCCCGTTCTCCATCTCGTCCTGGATCCGGCTCAGCTCCGCCGCGAACTTCTCCACCGTCGAGGCCGACCCGTTCTCCACCGGCGGCGCCTGGGAGAGCAGCTCATCCAGAAGGGTGTCCGGGCAGGAGGACGGGGGCCACGGGGATCCTGACCCAGCGTGGGAGGCGGTGCTGGAGTTGGACCCCCCGTTCTCCGCTGCCCCTTTCGCACACCAGCGGACCTTCTTGACCCCTGTGTCCAGCGCATGGGCCCCGTTGAGGATGGCGCCCGAGTCCTGAGGGGCCGGGGAGGAGGGGGAGCCGGGCCCCGTTGTGGGAGGAGCCCCTTCCGGGTTGGGCACTTCCTCGGTGAGGCCCCGCTTCTTAGTCCGGGGGGAAGAGGAGGAGGGGGCAGTGGCGGGGCCCGGGTGGCCACTTGGGTGGAAGGAGGTGTAGCCGAAGGAGTCACTGGGGGGGTTCGGCATGCCTCCGGGGGCCAGGCTCCCGGCGCTGGGCTCCTCCCCATCGTAGGGGGCAGACCAGACACGGCAGGCCCAGACACAGCGGTCCACGCTCAGCCGGGCATCCCGCAGGTACTCCAGGTAGTTCCCTTCCAGCTCGGCCACCTCCTCCCAGCGCCCCCCAGATGGGCGGTGGTGGGCGGGGCTTCCGGAGGGCGTTCCCGGGGAGCGCAGGTGCGTTGGGCTGGCGGACTCCCCGGTGCCGAGGCTGGGCTGCCGCATGAAGAAGGAGATGCGGGACGGCGTGGAGGGCCGGGGGACGGTCACCACCGAGGAGGAGGAGGAGTCCACGCTGGGGCTGCCGTGGCCTGGAGGAAAGGGGGGGGGTGGAGGAGGAGGAGGGGAAGAGGGAGTCAGGGTCCTAGGCAGCCACATATCACCTAGGAGTCAACATGCAATATGTAGTCTGCTATAGAGTTAGCCTGTGCAACACAGCAGAAGGGGTCAAAATCAAACTAGGCTTACCTTCTTAAAGCTCCTCCTCCCCCCCCTCCTGCCACTCTTAATCTGGATTGGTTGCCCCTCCTTACATGACCACTTCACCCCACCCACCCTTCACAGAAGAAAGGGGTAGGCCCTGAATCTTAAGGCTCCCCTTGACTGCAAGGATTAGTTGCATAGATTAGTTCCACCTCGTTTCCTGTGCTGTGCTAATATAATATAATATAATATAATATAATATAATATAATATAATATAATATAATATAATATAATAGATAAGATAAGATAAGATAAGATAATATTATAATGGAATACAAGATAATAATATATTATTGTTATATATTTTATATTGCATGTAACTAATAATACTAATAATATTGCAGTATAATGGTTTATACTAGGGCTGGGCGGTTTTGTTTCGTAATTTCGTAATTCGTTAAAAATTCGTTATTTTTTTTATAACGAAGCGATAACGAACCATTCTGGAGCAACTTAAAAACGAAACGAATTTTTCAATTCGTTTCGTAAATGCTTCGTATTTCGTTATGTATTCGTTTCGTTATTGGTTTGAGGTCGTTTCGTTATTATTTCCGCATGTCTGGGGCATGTTTTATAGTTGTTTTTTGTTTAATTAGTGAAAAAAAATTATAATATCACACCAACAGTCAACAACAGAGGGAGAGGGAAGCTTCAGAAGTTCCCCCTGTCCCAGAGGTTTTTTAGCGTATTGCGCGGTCGCGTCCGCCATTAACGAATCGATTCGTTATTGTTTCTTATTTGTTTCGTAATTTACGAAATTTCGTAAATATCGAACTTTTTTAAAGGAAAATTTCGGAATTCTTTTAAATATCGAAACGCAAAAAAACCCCAAAAAACGAATCGATTTTAGAAACAAATTTTTCCGTTGTTACCCAGGCCTAGTATATAGTACAATATAGTAATATATAATACTAATATTTATTATTTATTTATTTGCTTTATTTCTATACCGCATTTTTCAGCCCAATTAGGCGACTCAATGCAGTTATATAATATTATAATAGTAGTATATAATACTAACTTTAATAATGATTTTGGATTGTCTGCACATTTCTTCCCTCTTCGAAACCTTTATTCCAATTACATGCTACCTGTTCATGCCCAGCATTATTTTTTAAATTTGCCATTGGTTTTTAAATGCGTCGTGTTATTGTTATTGTTTTTGCTTATTTTGCTATGAGTTTTGTATTGTTTTTGTATTATTGCTGTTATTGTTATTGTTGTGTTGTGGGCTCAGCCTCATGTAAGCCGCACCGAGTCCCTCGGGAGATGGTAGCAGGGTACAAATAAAGTCTTATTATTATTATTATTATTATTATTATTATTATTATTATTATTGTGCTATGCTAATAATATAGTATATTGTATTTACATATTACAAGTAAGCCACTCTGAGACCCCTTCTGGGTGAGAAGGGCGGCATATAAATGTTGTGTGTGTGTGTATATATATATGTGTGTGTGTGTACATCTATATATATGGAGCCATGGTGGTGCAATGGGTGATTCCCTTGTGCCGGCTGAACTGCTGAACTGAAGGTCAGTGATTCGAATCCAGGGAGTGGGGTGAGCTCCCATCTGTCAGCTCCAGCTTCCCATGTGGGGACATGAGAGAAGCCTCCCACAGGATGGTAACACATCTGGGTGTCCCCTGGGCAATGAATCTGCAGATGGTCAATTCTCTCACACCAGAAGTGACTTGCAGTTTCTGACACGATAAAAAAGTCCTTCCTCATTCATCTCAATTCTTCCAAACGTTGGACTAATTCAGTTGATTCCTTCCAAACGTTGGACCGGGTTGGAAGTCAGCTGCATTAAAAATCACTACTGACCAAAAAGGCATAAGTTCAAAACCAGCCCGGGTTGGAGTGAGCTTCTGACCATTGTGTAGCTTGCTGTTGACCTTTGCAGCCTGAAAGACAGTTGTATCTGTCAAGTAGGAAATTTAGGTACTGCTTTATGCGGGGAGGCTAATTTAACTAATTTACGACGCCATAAAAATCTCCAGCAAGCATGCAAAAGAATGAGAAAGTACTCCATCGGAGTTGCAAATGGATGGTGAAGCAACAGCTCCCCCGGTGGTCGGAATTCGAGAATACCCTCATAAAGCTGGAAAGTTAAATAGCCTCTGTGTGTCTGTCTATATATATATGTTGTGTGTCTATGGCATTGAATGTTTGCCGTGTATGTATGTGTGCATTGTGATCCGCCCTGAGTCCCCTGCTGTGGGGTGAGAAGGGCGGAATATAAATACTGTAAACAAATAAATAATTCAGTGCTTTGGATATCTGTCTGATTGCTTTGAGCACCATTGCTCTTGAAATAAAGGGAAGAGCTTTTGAAATGGAGCTTCCTTGTAATATTGCTGACATGGAGGATTGTAATTCCTTGTAATATTGTAATATGGAGGATTTCCGTGTCCAGGGGAAGTGGGGCTAAACCCCCTTCTCCCTCCCTCTGCCCCACAGATGGGACCAAAGCTTCTCCTGCACCAATGCAATACTAATTAAGAAGGTGGCAAAAGCAGAGCTACCCATTCCTCCGCCCCAAAGCATCTCCCGGAAGAGAGGGTGTTTCTCCATTTCCCGGGGTTCCCAGCCCCAAACGTGCCCCCCTTTCGCATGGGGCTGACCGGTCAGCTCACCCTTGGACCAGGCTGCGTGCTGCTGCTCCTCCTCACGTTCAGGGGCCGGTGGCAGGCTCTCTGGGCGGCAGCAGCGCGGGATGAGCGAGAGGAACTTGCCGGCTGCCTTTCCGTAGAGGTCGGCCTCCTTCACGGCTCTCTTCTGGCTCAGCATCACGTGGCTGCAGGGCACCAGGTACCTGCCAATCACACAAAGAGTTGGAGCCCCCAGTGGCCAATGAGTTCAACCATTGTGCCAGCAGGACTGTTGACCAAAACATCAGCGGTTCAAATCTGGGGAGCGGGATGAGCTCCTGTCTGTCAGCCCCAGCTTCCCATGCAGGCACATGAGAGAAGCCTCCAACAGGAGGGTAAAACATCCGGGCATCCCCTGGGCAACGTCAATTCTCTCGCACCAGAAGCGACTTGCAGTTTCTGAAA